ATATAATTATGGAATGTAGACATTCCACGGTATAAAAACATAATAGACCATGTTTTAAGAGTTTTTAGTTGGTCCTCAATGGACAGTGAAGTCCTACAAGAAAGGACTAAAGTGAGAATTGAATGTATACAGTGAAAATGAAGAACTCTGGGCAAATAAAATCTTAACCCTTGCAGTGGGTCTACCCCTGCAATTCAAGGGTTAAGTACTTGTTTTGTCTAGGGAGCTAAAATAAGTGAGTCATACTCTCCGGAACCACAATCCCGACTGGCTCCTAGTCCAGTCCCTTCAGCCTCCGCTCCAGCAATGGAGTGTCCCTCGGCGTCCTCACATCCTATACCCTGACTCACTGGACCTTAGACTGCTGGAGTAGAAGAGGAGACAGGCTGGAGGGAGAATCTTGCTTCCAAAGCTTTCTCCGAGGAGAGTGTCCAATGCCTGCATCCCTTGCTGTGTTCTGTGGTTTCATTCTGACCTTTCACATGTATATTTTAAAATATCAGTATAACTATTTTTAATTTAATATCCATTTACACCTATGCATGGCGGTTTTACAGCTTGCTATCGCAATGCAGTGCAATGTGCAGTGTCATGTGAGTTGTGCCAGAAAGAATGGTGCATGTGTGTTTTTGCCTGTGCCAAACGAATGGGCTTCCCTAATCCAATGCATATCACCGTGCAATATAACGCCTTAAATTACACACCGCTTTGCAGAGCAAAAGTGGGCCCTTTATGATTGTATTTAACCTGCATTTGCACCTAGGATGCACAAAGGCTTCCCTTGTATGACAGTTACAGATATGAAGTGTTGGAAATGTATCACCAGCATATATAAATTGATTTTTTTCAGTTCTGCCTAATGTGTCAGACCAAAATTGAATCAGATGATTCCTGTGAGAACTTTAGCAACATTTGTAAGTTCTGTCTAATAAGAGCACAAGGGAAATGGCTGCTCAGTTAAGATTTGTCCTGACAGAAGGGACAAGACCAGGACTTGAATGATAAAGTACGAAGCATTGGCACTGTGGCACTATATTAACATAGTATTCTACATTCCTTTCTATTCTCTAATGGAAACATAATAAAGTCTGCATTGTAAGGTTTATCATACTCCATTTCCATTCTTCTGAGCTTTATATGGTGCAGAGAATAAGCCACAGCCGGAGCAGATTGCCCAACTGCACACCTGATGGATCTTGGATTAAATAAGTACTCTAGTGACCAAAAGAATAGTGTCATCATTGTTGTTGAATTGGAAGATTGCAACTTGATGAAGCTACAATAAGGGCCTGTGTCGATGGGCTTTTGTTCATTTCAAGCGGGTTTTACATTCCCATGCGGGTCTATAGGAATTAAAACTTCAAGAGCTCGTTTGAAGTAGGTCAGCAGCAGGTTAGAATGAGGTCAACTGCAGGTCAAATGCATCTGTCAATGAATTCTATATGATCTCAAACTAATGTCAGATTAATACCATCTTCACAAGCCTGAAGAACATCGTCATAGGCCCTAAAACTTAATTGTGTGAAGTATTGGTGTGCTTGGGACATACTGCTCCAGCTTGAGCCACCGTGGGGGCAAGATTTTTGAGGTTTACCTAACTAGCCAGTCAGTAATACTTACTACTGCACCTCCCTCTTTCCCCAGCCAATGAAAGGAAATAATCTAAACCAGGACAAGATAAGCATTACACTATGGGGTTTACCATATTTCAGATGCAGAACAGGAAAGGTATGGAACACTTTCTGTACTGGATGTAAATCTACTTTAGAATGACATCTAGTTTATTCTTAAGGTTGATATTTTATTCTTAACGTGGCAATAAATATCTTAATATATGCAAACGATGTTTCCAATTCCAACATCACTTGCAACAACCGGGCCCTTGTTGACCTTTCTATAGAACCATAAAAAATGGCTGTAAGAGGTGCTTGTTTTCGTTATTAAATTATATGGAAAAGTGTAAAGCAGTTGAGAGCAAAGCATAATTGCTCATGCACAGTTGTAATATTTCACCAGGTATCATTTAGGATACACTTCAGAGACACAACATCTAAAGACTTCTGACTTATTTCCACTCTCAGTTCATTGTCTTGAGGTGTTTTAGGCCCATCACATCTAAGCACCAATACTTTTAAACGTATGTTTGCCTTTCCCTGCATCCAATTTAGAGGCCACAGCCCGGTGTTACATACAAAGCAAACGTGTGTAACCGGCCACGACATAGAGCAGCTCTCACTGGTTCTTCCTGCTGACCTCAACACATTGCAGTAATTACATGAATGTATGGCTTGTGGTAGACCCAGCAGATCGGCAAACCCAGAGTCAGTTTCCCTGCAGACTACAACAGAAGATTTTTCAGGATCAGAGCAGCCTTTCAGAAGCAACAAAGTCACTTTAAACCAGTGGTTTTCAACATGTGTAACTTCAGGGCCCACATTTCTCCTTGGTCATTAAGTCGTGACCCAAGTTGCACTCAGTTGGAACACACGGCATTGCGGGTGATCGAACTGTGGGAGAGAGGTGCGTTTGGGGTGCCATTCAAATTAATGGCAACACAATGCACCTCTCTCACCAGAACGCGTGGTAGGTGCGATTGCGGGGTACAGAGCATTAATCACATGGGACTGTGCGATTAACACACTGTACTAGTGTGAATGGGCCCTCAAAAACACTGACATACACACACAACTACAGACACAATCTCACACACTCACAGACATTCTCACACACACACACATACACACTCCAAAAAAAATGTTATTCTTTTTTTTCGATTCACCCAGTCTCCCTACCTTACAAGAACTGGAGTGGATCCTCAGCCTGGGGTCCAGTGTGGGCTGCTGTGCTGTGACTGAGCTCCATCCATAAGTGCATTGCTTGTAAAGCTCCTTTGCATGCCCTGTAAAGGTGGTGGTAGCCAGAATGTGACGTCACTCCGGTCCAGGCACCTCTACGAGGGAGCTGTAAGCAATGCATGTATGGATGGAGCTTCCTCATGGCTATACCCCCAGTCCACGCGACCTCAGACTGAAAACTCGGCGCTGGGCAGCATATTTTGAACCGACAGTACTGCGCTAGGGGGAGGCTGAGGAGCCTCTCACCTAGCGCAGTCGAAGCCAGGCAGCAACCCACTGAGCGCTGGGTTGTGACCCACTTTTGGGTCGCGACCCACAAGATGAGAACCAAGGCTTTAAACAAATGTATTTTCCTTCAACAATGACAAGATGATACATTTTCCCCTCACTAACTGCTTCAGTAATCACTGTCTCTTGAAGAAGAACTGAAGGAATTCTTCCCAATGGGGCCATAGACAACAGTGACAACCCAGCAGGGGTTCTTATTCTTTCCCAAAAGCACAGTAAAAAGTTTCATTCATCTGTATAGTGAAAGGGAATCCAGTGCATATTCTGCTGAAGTGGACATTTTATGACCATGTACACTGATAAATTCAATGATAACCCAACCACACTGTCCATCCTTGATACTCAAAAGAATGCTGAATTTGTACATAGGAGCCCATCAACCCAGGCCCTGATACTGATCAACATTGGAGTTGTTAATGTCTTACAAAGTGTATTGACCTATCAGCTATAATGGGGCTTTTAGATTGTTGGTACAGGTAAAAGTACCCAGACAAGAAAAGAACTAAGCTACGTGCTAATTAAACATTTGCATAATTCTTCTTTTGAGTGGTATACATATATATAGCCATCAGTGACCCCTCTCCAGTGCCTCCCCCACTTAAAGTGCTGAGTGCCTTGTGGCCCGTCCCAGCAGCACATGTACAGGGTCCAAAAGACAAAGTTCAGCTCCCGCAATCAACTGTACTGTGCACAAACAACCTGCACAAACTCTCTGATGCATTTTACTCCAAATAACTTATTTGTCAATTACCAGTTAAGCTTTTCAAGTAAAATAGGCCAGAGAGAAGCTTGTGCAGGTTGTGCTATGAGCACTAAAGCTGATTGTTGGATTGATGCTACTCCATCATTGACCAGTCAGTTGGACGGGTGTTTATTTGTCCGACACCAGTCCTGATCTGGCTATGTTGTCTAGCAGTTGTATCTGCATCACAAGACTGAGAAGAATTAAAAATTACGAAAAAACAGCTCACATACACTATATTGCTAAAAGTATTGGGACACCCCTCCAAATCATTGGATTCAGGCGTTTCGTGAAATTTCCTTGCTACTAAATATTCCACGGTCAACTGTTAGTGGTATTATAACAAAGTGGAAGCAACTGGGAACAGCAGCAACTCAGCCCCGAAGTGGTAGGCCACGTAAAATCACAGAGCGGGGTCAGCGCTTGCTGAAGAGCACAGTGCGCAGAAGTCGCCAACTGTCTGCAGAGTCAATAGCTACAGACCTCCAAACTTTGTGTGGCCTTCAGATTGGCACAACAACAGTGCATAGAGAGCTTCACGGAATGGGTTTCCATTGCCGAGTAGCTGCATCCAAGCCTTACACCACCAAGTGCAATGTAAAGAGTCGGATGCAGTGGTGTAAAGCACGCCGCCACTGGACTCTAGAGAAGTGGAGACATGTTCTCTGGAGTGACAAATCACGCTTCTCTGTCTGGCAATCTGATGGATGTGTCTGGGTTTGTCGGTTTCCAGGAGAACAGTTCTTGCCTGACTACATTGTGCCAAGTGTAAAGTTTGGTGGAGGGGGGATTATGGTGTGGGGTTGTTTTTCAGTGGTTGGGCTGTGAAGGAAACTCTTAAGGCATCAGCATACCAAGACATTGTGGACAATTGTCCTCGGTTCTCCTGAAGCTACGGCCAGATCCTTCGGCAGCTTTGTGAATAGACCCCTAAGACTGGGATGCCATTAAAGTCAATTAAATGCCAATAAAGCCATTAAATGTGTAAGGATTGCGTATATAGCTGCCAACCTGCAGATCAACTTTTTTATTTAAGTCAAGCAATTGTATGTTAATGCCCTAGAAATAAAACTACTGTATGTCCTGGAAATTGAATTATATATGTTTTGTTCTAGGATGGAGCGATATACAAACAGAAGGAACATGGGAGTTGGTAAGTAGCTACTTCGTATTTCATAAACTTTACTCCAAAACTCTATTTTGATACGTCTACGGGGTTATGTTAGTTATTAGTGAAGCTCTTTGCAGAATATTTGACGTACGGTGTATGGCTCTGTATCTACTGTGGAGAAATGGAACGTTAAATGCCAGATGCAAAAAATTTGACTTTCTTCAGGGATTTAAAACATTTTACGATGTTTTCATTGTAATATAAATTGTATTTTTCCGCACAGCTGTTACTTCAAATGTTCTAACATTTGTCAAGCAAAATTAATCGGGATGTTGAATTTTTGCATAAATGTGTTTATAACTCTGGCGCAACGGAACTGATTAACAAACGGTGAAGCGACAGAATGTGAAGCTGTGGCCGACAGTAACAAGTCAGATTTGCTTGATTGGCTTTATTAGTGCAGATAGGGAAGGACAGCTGTCATTTGATTGGTGGATTTCATTTTCTGATAATTTCAGTTTTCAAAAATGAGCCCCGGTGTTATCAAACTACAAGGAACTGATATGTCTGAAGGACGGAAGCTAGTTTGCTTATTGTTCAGGATTAAACAGCTTCCAAAGGTGTCTCACATTACATTGGAATGAGACTCTTTCTTTTTTAGATTAAGGCTACACACGAGTCTCCTGTCTTTCGTTTATCAAAACGCAAATGAAGTTATCTGTAACTTATAAAATAACTTTGTTTCCCAGATCAAGTTCTCCTGCATTTACATGTACTTGCATGTACATGCATTTAGGGTCCTTTCACACAAGCAAGTTGTTTTGAAAGCACAGCCACTTGTGTGCGCTGACAGGTACAGTGCTGATGTGTTGATCCTGGTGCAGAGAGAGATTTCTTCTTGCTTCCTCTGGGGTTTACAGGACAGAATGTTGGACACAGGTGACAGAAAAAAAAACTGATAACCCTTCCCGATTCTTTACAAATTTTTGTTCAAAATATCTGGCTTAAAGTGATACTAAACTCAGGAGTTAAACCTTAAAAATGCATTCAAATGCTTTAACTATTAGCAAAGATGTATCTTATTTGTGTATCACTTGGCTGTAGATCCTCAAATCATCTCTGAATTGGTGCTGGCACTGTCCTTCCTTCTGGAGGGTGGCTACTTTTGTTCCCCATGGTCCCTGTGTGTGTTGTAAAGTAGCCACCGCTCCAAGCTCACTCAATACACAGTAGAAAACTCAATGTGAAATTGAGGTCCATCAGGGGATGGAGCTTCAGAGTCTGAATGTGAGAATGTGGGCTCAGGAGCATCTGCACTTCTCAAATGTATTTATTTGATTCACTGCTTTCTCTCTTTATATCTATATATATCTTTATATCTCAGAATACAGAGGGGTCTATTCACGAAGCTGCCGAAGGATCTGGCCGTAGCTTCGGCCGAACCATCGGCTAGTTTCGGCCCCAGGACCCCTTCGGTTCAGTAGTATTGTGAATAGCCCGTACAGCTCCCGATCATGGCCGAGCGGCTCAGTCGAGTTTCTATTTACTTTTTTAAAACTTTTTTCACTCTTTTTCTGTTTTCTACCTCTGAGGGACCGAGCAGAACAGCCGAGCCCGAATGCCGCTCGGCGGCATTCGGCTATTCACTCTCTGCTGTTTGGCATCTTTAAGCATAGCCCGAACAGCAGTGAGTAGCCTGCCGGAGGGTCGGCTCAGCCGATCCAGATGTTGGATCGGCTGAGTCGAACTCCTTCTGCACTTCACGCGAAGCCACTCCTTCTGAAGCCACGCGAAGCAAGCCGATGTACGGCTGATGTCAGCCGATGTACGGCTGAAATCAACCGTACCAGCCTGAAGTGAATAGCCGAACAGTGTTCGGCTCACTTCACTTCAGGTCGGTCATTCACTCGGCTGCCTACGGCAGCTTAGTGAATAGACCCCAGAGTTTTGTTTTTTATTTTAGTACACGATTTATAGCTGAACTCCAGGCAATCAGCTAAATGCACAATTGAAATATATGTTTAAAGCTGGCCATACACCAACGATTATCTGCAGATTTTCTATGGTCAGATGGAAAAAGTACAACAGATTCCTCCATCTATGCTAAACTGTGTGGATGGAGGAATCTCCCACTGGGCCAAGCTTCAGTATCTTGCTAGTTAGACCAGCTGGCTGTCAAAATACCTGAACAATGCCTGCATCCAAACAGATTGTTCAGGTATTTTGACAGCCAGCGGGCTGGCTAGTAAGATACTGAAGCTTGGCCCAGTGTGAGATTCCTCCATCCACACAGTTTAGCGTATGGAGGAATCTGTTGCACTTTTTCCATCTGACCATAGAAAATCTGCAGATAATCTCTAGGTGTATGGCCAGCTTTACTTGCTATGAGATCTGTAATTCTGTCCAGCCAGTCTTGTGATCTAGACACCTCTGCCCCACAACATAGTCAGGTCAGTAACCTTACTTTTCACCACTGTATTTTTCTGTGCCAGTAATGGCAGGCAGAATTTAAGTGGAAGCTCTTCAACTCAAACCCAAACAGGAACATTATGAAGGTTCTCACCTTTTCTCACTCCATGCAATAATAGAAATAGGAACATTTTTGGCATGAGTTGGTCTTTAATTGCATTTCATCTATTGATAAAAACCTACATACACTACTTATACCTTAGTTAGCAGTTATAGGGATATTAAGCTGCAAGAACTGTAGTTAAAGCTTGGCAGTAACAGATCTATTCCTAAGTATACCGTTTATCAGAAGTACACTAAATGCAATGCAAACACAGGTTCAGTAAACCTCTGTCATTGTGCAAATGGCTGGAATTATCCATTTCAGAAACCACTTAGATGCTCAGAGCGTATTTATCATAAGTGCTATGAGATAAGCCGTCCAGGGAATTACTTAACAAGGGGACGTGGGCAGGCACACCGAATGGGATGCATCTGGGTAATGTTTCTTTATTAGACTTTCTGAAGCAGATTTAAGACTCAATTATATGACATCAGCAACAATGTAGTGTGCACAAGATGTTGGAATGTAAAGGGGAGATAAGGGACTACTTCACCTGGATGGAAATAAGCCAACAAACTGTGGAGGAGGTCAGGGATATGGTATTTGCATTAGCTTGCTTTTACATTAGCATGCACACATACATAGTTACAGGCAGAGGTCACCATTTAAGGAAGAACTCTAGTCTAATAAGCATGTTATTGTTTTCAACAAATCTGTTGAAATGTATGAATGCAAGCAATATACCCCTCATTTTCCTACAGTGGGTTAGAAACTGATTTGTCTGACACCGTAAAAACATTTGTGTCTTTGTCTGTCCCATCCGCTACATCACACTGACTAACAGCACAGCTTACAGAAAGAAAAAGTTTCTGTTGCATCATGAAGATAAGCTTTTCTTCATGCCAAAAAACTCAGGTACTATGGCACACTGGAGAAACGGTAACATATACCCCCTTTAAATTTAAAGCCCAACTCCAGGCTCCCGCACCCCCTTTATCTCTGTAGCATTTTTGGTTATTTTGTTTTATATTTACCCTTTCCAGATGTCTTCAGGTAGGTCACATGACATTCGGATTGATTTACTATAAGCAAACAGGCTGTTCACTTTGCAAGGGAATATGTACTTTGCAGGGGAAGTTACCCTTAGCTTGGTGAATGTGGTGCAATTTCATTTTGAAAGATTTTTAAAAATACACAATCACTTGCAAGGAAAATAAGAAAAAAATGTATTTTTGCTCTCACATGATTGGCTGATAGAAGTCAGCAGAGCTTCACCTCATTCACTAAGCAAAACTACTGTTTTTTATTTTTTTTAATTTTCCTTGCACGAGATTGCTTCAAGTGAAATTTCACCACATTCACCAAGCTCAGGGAAAACTTCCCCTGCAAAGTGCAAATTCCTTTACAGAGTAAAATCAACCACGAGGGGTCCACTTTCTATTCGCATCTTTTTTGGTGATGGGCAGTCAGTAATGATTCAGAGAGCGGTGCTGATGATTACTGCGTAAGTGCTGGGCACCCTGGTGGTAGTTCCTCAGGGGGTGGGGAACAGCGTCATAGAGAAGGCGAGTAAAACATTTTTTCTAGAACTGGACCTCGACACTAGAGCCCTGTATTATTATTAAAAATTTAATATACTCTTATTGTCCCTAAATTTAAGTAATTTCACCTAAAGTGGCCTTGCATTTGTGTTTGTCAGTGATAAAGTCAGTGATCACTGATAAAGTCAGTGATCTTAAAGTGAGACTGAACTTAAGATGACACTAAAGTCAGAAGTTAAATCTAAAAAATGCTTTCAAGTATCTTAACTATTAACAAAAATGTATCTTATTTGTGTATCACTCGGCTGTAGATCCCCAAATCATCTCTGAATTGGTGCTGACACTGTCCTTCCTTCTGGAGGGTGGCTACTTTTGATCCCCATGGCCACTGTGTGTGTTGTAAAGTAGCCAATGCTCCAAGCTCACTCCCGTGATGGACTAAGATCTCAATACAAACTTAATGTGAGATTGTAGTCTATGACAGGAGTGAGCTTGGAGTGGTGACTACTTTACAACACACACAAGGACCATGGGGAACACAAGTAGCCACCCTCCAGAAGGAAGGACAGTGTCAGCACAAAGTCAGAGATGATTTGAGGATCTACAGCCAAGTAATACACAAATAAGATACATTTTTGTTAATAGTTAAGGTACTTCAATGCATTTTAAGATTTAGCACCTAAGTTTAGGGTCACTTTAAAAAAAATCACTAAAACTATATTTCAGGGTTCCTATTCTTTGTAGAGGCTGGAAAGTTAAACTACCTCCAAAAGTTTTTTTTTGCCTTTTAAACATCTAATAAGATGTTTAATAAGATGTGTACACTTTATTTCTTGGCTATTCCCAAAACCAAAATTATGGTTTCCATGCTCCCTGTTGGATTACGAATTGATTTATTAAAAAGCATTTTGTAAAAAGTGCAATAGGAGACACACCCTGTCAAGGAGGAGTGAGATTGAAGATATGTGGTAAGTGACAGAAGAGTTATA